GCTTTGAAACTTCCTTGTCTGACCCACCTTGGCAGATAAATAATCTGCCCTGTTTACAATAGAAGGGGCAGCCTGGATGCAATCCACAAAGCTAGAGGCACAGCATTTTTTTCTGAAAGGCATCAGTTACCTGCCTCCCCGTCCCTCCTGCCCTAGAGGGCAACCCCAGGGAACCCCAGGAAGCTGCCTCCGTTTGCAGAGACCTCACATTACCTTCTTCTGGGGCTCATGGCAGCAGCAGCAGGAAATTCATGAGCCCTCTCGCAGCTGTGAAAGCAGATATTCAAAAGGCTTATTTCTGAGTCAGGCCAATCACTCCTAATTGCCTCTTAATGCAGACTTGGATTAAAAATATTAATTAAGTAATTTATTGGAATTCCTCATTCCTCATCTTGCAGTGGCTGAGGATTAAGGCCTAGAGAAGCCAAACCCCAGAGCTTAGGACAAGTTTAGCTGAGCTTTTCCTGATTCTTTATTTTATTTTGAATAATGCATGTGCTGCGGCTGGCCAAAAATCTCACTACTATGGCTATAAAGAAACCATAGGAAGGACCAGCCAACCCATGTGTCATCTACTCATTCTGGTGGGATGCCCACAACGGGCAGCTGTTCCCCCTTCTACAGCTGCACGGAGCAAGTGCCAGGGGTTCTCCTTCACAGGGTATGAACCTGGAGATCCATCCTTGCCTTGGAAGCCCTGCCTCTGCCCTTCATTAGGCCATCCTTCATTTTACCTCAGGGATCCCATTTCCTGTAGGTTAATCATTTTATTTCCTTCACAGACGCTCTCCTTGGCACAAACAGAGCTGCACTCACAAACACGTGGCAAGGGCCAGCGCCTGTCCAATTTGAGCTTATTTTAGGGCAGCCCAGACTTGTCTGACTGTTGATGGACACAGGCTACCACTGTGTAAACCCAGGGAGCTCCTTAAGCACATGTTTTATTTATACTGAACCACAGACATGACCTTCTCTTCTCCTGAACCACGTTGGAAAAGGAAATGCCTCCATTTGTGGTATTCAGAGGGTCTGAAGCACAGCAGTGATAGCCTCAAACACTCTTCTACCCCTTTCCTCTCATAATGACAACAGCATTCCCCTTTAAAGTTTCTGTTCTATTTTTCCCTTTTTTTTTTTAATTTTTGTGACATCAGACCTCAAGGGAAAAAGGAAGGGGAGGGAAAAACCCTCTGGAAACCCTTCCCATTTCTCTTCCTCACATCCCCCACAGGGGTTTCCCACCTCTCACATGCCTGCCAGACTACAGCTGGTTTGTTTTCCCCCTTAATCCGATGGCACAGCAGGATGCAGATGCAGAGTACGAGCAGCAGTTCCACAGCAGCCCGCTCCTCGCTGCGGAGTTTTCATCACACCCACTTCCCCCCCTCTCTGCACCAATTAAGATGAATCAGCCAAAAGGCCCATCTCTCCAAACCACCTACAGGCAACCAAAGGCCCTGTTATTAAGCAGATGAAAGAGCAGCCAAGCATCTTTGATGACTGCCCTTCCTCGGGTCCCCTGCCAGGACCCCTTCTCCACTCCACGCAGCCCTGATGGGCAGGGGACCAGCGTTGACATCCCCCACCACCACTGAAAGCAGCTCAGAGAAACAAGAGGGTGATGTGCCTTTCTTCCCCCCCTCCCCATAACAATGAGGATCAATAATCTGTTGGCTGCTTATCAAGAGCTTGACTCATCCTCAGGAGAAAGCACGACGTGGGCAGGTTTCCGATGAGCACGACTCAGCCCAAGATGCCAACGTGCAGCCTTTATGTTCCCACCCCTCCAGGATGCTGTGCCAGAAGCACCAGGCAGGGATGGAGCCCCATCAGAGCCTCCAGCTGCTCAAAGGACTTTCTCTGTGGGGAGAGGTATTGCTCACACACACTCACATCCCCCCCCAAGCTATAGATTGAGATCATCCTAGGTTCTTCAGTCACAAGCTCCTACTGGATTCCTCTGAGGCTGAGTAGGCAGTGGACAGTGAAGTTCAGAGAAGCTCATGAAGCCCAGCAAAGACCCAGATGTGGGGCTGAACGACCCTCATGCGACAGAGCAAGCTGGAGGGGGATCAAGTTGCTGCCTTCAGCTACTTCATGGGAAGTGGCTACAGAGAGGTCAGATCCAGACCCTCCTTGGATGTGCACAGAGAAAGGACAAGCAGCTGGTTACAAGATGCAACAAGGGAAATTCCAATCAGATATAAGGAGGAAAAAAAAAAAATTACTGGGGAAGTGATTAATTGCCAAAACAGGGACTCTGAAATAGGGTGGAGGAATCTCCCTCCCTGGAGATATTGAAATTTGGCCAGAAAAGGCCCTGAGCAACCCAGTCAAAAAGTTGGCTCTCCTTTGAGCAGAAGGTTGCACTCAAGACCCTCCCAACCTCAGCATTTCTGGGAAGAGGCTGGGCACGGGCAGCAGATGCCAAAGCCAGACAAGAGGAACTTCTCACTACTTCCTACCATCCAGAGGTTTATCTTATCAAAGAGCCAGAGTATCAGAGCTGTCCTCTTGCCATCACACAGTGCAGGACATCCCCAGCCTACAGGCAGGGAGACAAACTTTCCAGCACCCAGAAGGTTGGTTTTTTTTTTTTAAGCTTCATTATGTATCTAGAGCAGCCCTGAGCCTGTCCCGGCATCAATGTGAGCAGTCAGCTTTGTTGCTGGTAAATTCGCCTTGAGGTCTCCTCCCAACCAATATGAACAACTGGCTTTTACAAAAAGCACATTAGTAACCCAAGAAGTTACAGGGGAAGGTACCACTTCTAGTTTTGCCTGAAACCAGATCTTCCCTTTTTGCAATTTTTTTTCTTTTACTTTTTTTTTTTTAAAAAAAAGGATGCAATTGCAAAGGAAAAGTGCTAAACTTCTGGCTTTGCGTTTCACTAGATGAATACTGGCAAAAACACCAATACCTTGACTTTGGGCTACCAAGTGTCTTCAGCACCAAAGCACACAGCCTTTTCTATACCTACAGCAAAAGCCCTTCATTCTAGAAGCTGAGTTGAAAGCATCCCTGTAAGGTCCAAGGCAAGCAGAATTCACCCGAGTGCACTAGCATTGTTTGGAGCCACCAAATAACCCCAAACCATTGGGCTGGAAGAGAGATCCTGCTCCTGTAGGTGTCTGTACCATGATCCTGCTCCAAGGGGTCCTGAGCAGTGGAAAATACCTGTCAGGTTGGGCATTAAGCCAAGTTGCTGCTTTCATGACACTGCGATGTCAACGGCAAGTAGCTCAACTTCTCCAACCTGTATCTCACCTGCTTATGGCTCAGGGCCAGGAGGACACTCCCCAGATTTATCAGCCTCTCTTTAAGGCTTAGCCGTTTCAAACACATTGTGTACTCACCCCAGGATGGGTTGATACCTGGGAACACGCATGAACTCTCCCCCTTGCTTTTGCTTTATACCTCTCGTGCACTTGGATTTCCAATCTTGGTTTCACTGAGCTTTTTGACAGAAATGCTCAGGCCCCAGAGAACTGGTTCACAGGCCAACACCCTTTGGGGAAAGGACATTTCATTTAAGCTCCTCCAGAATAACCAATAATTACTATTTAGCTGACGTTGGCAGGTCTTTGTAGCCCTGACATCCAGAGCATCTGAGCACGGCCAACGAGTCCTTCAGTATCACATGGAGCCCATCTGCCAGCCTGGTCCTCCTTGGCTGCTACAGCACAAAAGGCCAACACAAGTCCTCCAGCTTCGTTAGCCAAGCTCTCACTGGAGTTGAGCCACCTCAATTTTGCTCCAAGTCCAGCTTTTTGGAGAGAAGGAAGATGCTTTGGTAGAGACAGAGGAGCTGTTGAGGAAAGCACAGCTCTCCGTGCACCCACTTTGTGGATCCACTGCCCCAAGAAATACAAGATGAGGATGGACAGGACCATGTGGGACAGTAAATATCTAGCCTTTCCATCACATTAACCCAGCAGAGGATCACAGCACTGACAGGAACCTGCTGGAGGAGAGACCAAGGACCAAGTTACTCATTTCCCCTCAAAGCCTGCAGTAGGATTTGCTTTCTGGGATGATTTTTTCCACTGCTCCCCCAGGAGCCGTTTAAACTTCTGCAGCTGCTCTTACTAATGCAGCTCCTTTTTCTCACATGGTACTTGAGAGACTTTTTCCTCTAAGAAATACTTAAAAAAAATAATAAAAATCTACTGGTTCGATGGAAACAGCTGGAGTGCTCATCAAATTGCATTTTGATCCCTTTTTTTTTTTTTCCTGGAAAACAGGAGCACTGTCTCACTAGCAGCTGGGCTAGAATTACTCCCTTACTAGGGACAAACTTTCCACCACGGTTAGTGGCAAATATTCACTTTAACCTCTTTTGAAAGCCAGAAAGCATTTAACAAGGTGGGCAGAAAAAGCCACCTCCATCCATCGGGACCAAACCGGTTACCTCTGTTTCACAGGTACAAATGCAACATGAGGGTCAAGGCAGGCTTGGCTAATAGCCAGTCCACCTTTGCCAGAAAAATAAACATTGCCATCGTGCAGATTGATTTAGATGCCTGTTTTAGGAGTCGGTTGCCTCATCACCACCAGCAAGAACTCTTGGGGCTTGCAGAAACCTCCCAGCCAAGCGGTGGAGCACACCCCAGTGTGGATGTGAGATAAAACAGCACCATAAAAAGTTGGCTTCATTTTCCCTTTACGTTTGTCACGACTCTGCCATCCTGCAGCAGTTTAATTTTGGTGGCTGGGTTTTGCATACAGGGCCTTGGGGACCGAGCATAACTGGGTTTTTTTGTTTGTTTGCTTTTGGGGTTTGTTTTTTGGGGTTTTTTTGAGATCTGCAGGCAGGCTCTTTGCCTGAAAGCAAAGGATTTCCTATCAAGCCTCATCCCCTGCAGACAACTGAGCACATGCAGACCCCATTATAGAGACCAAGTCCTGGCCAAGACCTCTGTGCATCATCTGGCAGCAGAAACGCATCCTGGATGAGCTGCAAAAAGCCTCCAGTCACCGATACTCAAAAAAAAATAAAATATCACTTCCAGTTTTAATGAAATGCATTTCAAGTACCTGACTTCCAACCAAAACAGCAATAGTTGAAACACAAGAACAAGTGGTTGTCAATCAACACATGGGAAGCACCGAGAGGTTCTGGACTACATTGACCTGAACATCAGCCCTGAGGTGCCAGAAGGCTTTCCTGCCAACACAACAGCTTGCTTCCACCTGAGATCCACTGGCATGAAGGCTAACTGTTGCCAGCTACGTGCTGATATAATTTTTTTTCCATTTTCCCTCTGAAAAGCAGCAAGCACCAGCAGTTTATCCTATCAGTCCCTGCCTGCTCTATGCCCAGCAGGAGCAGAGTGGGCAGGATGCAGCCTGATGACCAAGCTCTCATCCCACACAGGCACAGCTCCAGCAAGATACCACTTCCCAGCAGGCTTATATCCCACCAGAGTCTGCTCCAGCCCCACATCATCCTTTCCCAGTGCTAAATTCTGGGGCTGGACAGTTTAGTTTCTGCTATGGAGACAGTGAGCTGAGCCAGAGCCAACTGAAGCAAGGAGGGGAAAGAAAGTATGGCCCCAAATGAGATTGTCCTCTCCTGGACCAAGGTTTAATCGCCCCATGTGCTTAAAATACACTTTGCTCATGCCAAGGTGAATTTTAACCCAGCCTCTTCCCCTCCCCTCCACTGACGTTCGCTCCCTCCCACAACCTTTTTCCATTTTTGTTTGTGCAATTGCACAATTTCCTCCTCTCTCCTGCAGGCGAAAGGGCACAAAATACCCTGAACACGTAGAACCCTGAGGGGGTTTTTTTTTCCCCCCCCTCTTCCTCCCAGTGCATCCCTGACCCAAGCCCACATCTTACCCAGCAGCTCCCCATTTTGGTGCTGTCACTGCCTTGTGTTTCCCCATCAAACCAATGCACAGAGCCTGAAAAGGGCAGCACAAGCTCCACTACATCAAGGAGATAGGATTAGATCTAATCTTGTTTATCAGCACAATTAAGGCTGGTTCTCATTCAATCTTCCTCCCTAGACTCCGGAGAAGGAAAGAAAAAGATCCAAAGCACTTGGCAACCCTGAGGAGGAATTAAAAGTTCACATCAAAGTCACTGCAGTCAGGATGAGTGTCACAAGTCAGCAGTACCTGTTTTAAATAGAAACGAGGCGTTTTCCTTCATGTACAAAAAAAAGGCACAAAATACCCATATCAAACTCTTTCATTAGACAACACCCCCATCCCTGCAACAACTGCAGCAGCACGGAAAGAAAAAAAACCCACAAAAGCCTTCCAACAGCACCAAACAAGCACCAGGTAACATGAAAGGCACCGTCTCAGAATTCAAAGTCCTCGTCGGCCATGTCGATCGCCCAGGCAAACTTCTCCCTCTGTGTCTTGTTGTAGATCTTCTCGATGGGCACCCCGAACTTCTTGCACCTGTACAAACCACAAGGCAGCAAGTGGGGACGTGCCACCCATCCCGCTCTGCTCCCACCGCTGGGGTCCTCTCCGCTCAGGGTGCAGCATCTTTCACCCCTTCAAACTCCTTTAGCCTCAAGCTCCTTCAGAAATTAACTTTGTGCTGATGAAGATATGCTAAGTGACCCCTTCTTGCCCTAAACCCAGAAAGAATAGCCTGCAAACAGTTATTTGGAGCAAGGGAAACTTTATCTTTGGATTTTGCTGGTATCTCCCAACACCTGCAGGTCTTGGGCAGGTTTCCCTGGGCAGAAATAACATTTATTCCTTTACCCCAAAGGCTCAGGCCTGTGTTTATCCCCCTCCTGACACAATCTGCACATCTCTAGAGGAGCATCTGCCCATAACATGCCCAAGACTTACCAAGCTATGCTAATCCTGGGGTCCAGGTAATTCAGCTTGGAGGTGCCCAGAGCAATCTGCTTGTTCTCCTCCTTATCTGTGGCCTGGATGTTCAACTTGGCCAGCTGCTCTTCCAGCCGCTTCAACAGCTTCTTCTTCTTCTCCACGTTGCTGAGGGCAGAGGAAGAGCAACACAGACAGCGTGTTAAAGAGGAAAAAAGCAGCAGAGATAAAATACAGAGCAGTTCTCCTGGTCTGCTGTTGCCTGGGAGCATGATGGGAAGCCAATGAAGAGTCTCTACACTCACCTGAAGTCCTTAAAGGCCTGAGCCTAGAAATACTCCAGAATGGTAGAGTCAAAGATGTCATCGAGCACTAACCTATTCCTCAAGTACTTTGGTCTGATAAAAACACTTTTATAAAAATGTTATTACCACCCAGGTTGGGCAAGCACAAAAGCCAGCATGCAGCAACGACCTTCTCCCTCAAACCCAGGCTCCACGAGCAACTCTTTCTGACAATCTGCTCTGCATCTCACCAACACAGGGCACGAAGAGAAAAGAAGGAACCTCAAAAGTAAAGTCTCTGGTCAGCAACTCACATTGGGCTCTGGGAAGGGGGTGCAAATTTGGACAGACCCCATGCAATGACTACTGCAGAGATCAGATACGTCACAATCCACCACTGAAGTGTCCCACAAGAAAAACAGGCCAGTCTGTGTATGCCCAGATCCAACCTCAAAAGCAGGGCATCCTTTACACCATGACATTTGTAGGTTAAGTCCAAGGGCTGAGGTCTTAGCATGCAGTGAGGTATGTCCTATCACAAAGGAATCCCCCTGGAGGACCTCTTTGTAATCCCACTGTTGCAAGGAACCTTCCACAAGGCCTCCATCCATCTACCAGGCTGCCACAAGGCACTTGATACTCAACATGGCCATCTCTGTTCTGATGAGCTGCACGTAGGTGTTGGACCACACCATCCCCATCTGCAGGCCCTCTCCACAGAGATCCCTCTGCCAAAGAGGATTGTAAGGAAGAGTCACTCACGCTTCTGCTTTGGCATCTTTTGTGTTTTCAAACTCCTCTTCAGCTTTTTTCAGCTCTTGCTGGGCTTCCTCAATCTGTTTCTTCTTGGCATCAATCTGTGAAGGTAAATACCAAGTCAACCCATGCTCCTGCCTTCCCTGGAGGTTTCAGCTGCCTCCCCTCTTGCCCTTTCTTCTGCGACATCGCTCTTCAATTTCTGACCAGCCCTACTCCAAAGCCAACACCTTGCTCCTGCAGCACCTGCTGGAGCTCAAGCATTTCTTAGAATCTTACTGAAAAATCCTTACAGCATGGATGCCACAAACACTTGCAGGTCTTATGTGTACACATTCCCTGAGACTGACTGGCTTGTGACAGTGATAGAGACCTCTACAAAGTCCCAAGCTCACCAGCAGAGCGTGGATAGAAGCTGAGGACCGTTTATAAAAGTAGTTTGAAGTATTTCCATAGCAGACCCATGAAATTTCAGTTGGTCCTCCTGCAAACAGCCAGATAGGAAAACCAGTTTCCTTGCTCCCAAGCCAATGGTGTTGAAGCTGTGCTGTTGCAAAAGGCACCCAGCTTGGTTCCATGACACCAAGTCATGAAAAAAACAACCCCAAACTCTGTGCCAAGTGTGCTTCATCCAGCATTTGAGCTTACTCCATCCCTCTCCACCCCTGGGTTGCTGATGTCTCTGTACTGATTAGAAAAAGGCACTAGTCCTGGTTCATTCCCTGCCATGCTTGATCAACATGATCTCTTTAGGCATCAGGTTGTCCCACCCTACCTCTCCTCATCCCTCCACCCCCTTCCCCCCCCAAAAAAAAAGATCAGAGGTGAGATCAGGTCTGGGAGCTCTCCGTTTGGTCTGTCTCACCTTGGCCTGGAGGTTTTGCATTGACTTCTCAAAGGTCTTTGGTGTAGACCTCTGATGGTTGCACAGGATGGCCACGGCTCGATTAGCTCTGTTGTAGGAGAGGAGCTTTCCCGCAACATTGTCCTCAGCTGGAAATAAATGGAAGCATCACTGTATCTTCTTTCTGGGAGTTGGGGAAGGCAGGGAACAGACCGGAACAACAGTAAGTTGTTTGTCTTTCCCATCCTTTCTCGAGGGAGGGCAATCCTGGTTGTGGAAACCAGCAAGTAATGCTGAATCGGAGGTTGTGCCTCATCACTCTCATATCCAGGGCAGGCAAAAATAATGTAATCAACCAGGAATGCAAGGAAAGAGGGGAAAAAGAAATAGTCCCATCTCAGCTATCCCTTAGACTGTTGCTGAGTGGGTAACTATTTCTCATTTAGCACGTGGCTTTTCAGTACCTAGGAGGGGCCTACAGGAAAGGTGGGGACAAACTTCTTAGCAGGCCCTGTTGCTATACGACAAGGGGTAATGGCTCTAAACTGAAAGAGTGAAGATTTAGATTAGATATTAGGAAGGAATTCCTTACTGTGTGGGTGGTGAAACACTGGCCCAGGTTGTCCAGAGAGATGGGAGATGCCCCATCCATGGAAACATTCAAGGGTCAGGTTAGACAGAGCTCTGAGCAACACGATCTAGTTGAAGATGTCCCTGCTCATGGCCGGGGGCTGGACTAGATGGCGTTTAAAGGTCCCTTCCAACCAAAAATATTCTATGATTCCATGGTTCCCAACCCACTGCATGCCCCCTTAGGTTATACAGCACCTTACAACGTGGTGCATGACCTGCCAAGGAGAGGCAAAACAGTTCTTAGGGACCCCAAGGCAATGAATGGACATCACTGAGCCCACTGGCCACACAATGCAGCTGGTGATACCACAAACACCATTAGTAACTCACCATTAGTGAGTGCCTTGAGCTGCTCCTGCAGGGTGATGGAGGCATTGTAAGTCCTGAACACTTTGGCGCTCAAACCATCCATCAGGCTCTGGAGGTATTTGTTCACAATGGATGTCTGGAGGAAGGAAGATAGGACAGAGTTTGGAGTGGGGAAGGAGGAAAGAACAAGCAGAAGCCAGGACAACAAAGCACTTGCTTTTCAATCATCTTCAGCCTAAGTAATCAAATTAGGCATTAAATCTGTCATAGTTTGCAGATCCACTCATTGGGTCAGGCTCTCATCTATCAAGAACTGGCACAAATTCCACCTAAACCCACACAAAGAATTTCTCCAGAAGTCAACAATTTCTACCCATCTACCTTCAAGAGGACACATCTCGCATCCAATATCCCATCTTACATATATCACATCTGATAACTCTGTTCTATGGAACACATGGGGCTGCAGTTGGACTGGAAACTGAGGATGTTCAGACTTCATCTAGGGTTTGGAGGAAGCCTTACTTGTACCAAGAAAGCCTACCACAGATAAATCCTACATAACCAGAGAGAAGCAGCCTCTTCAGAGGAAAAATAGGCAAATGGCTTTGTAGGGGACACAGGTAGAGGGGGATGATGGGTGGCAACATGCCATCTCCCCTGCTGAGGAAGAGGAGGGAGGATGTTTTTGCAGGGGAGTAGCTTGGGAGGAAAGGCTGCAGCACATTTCTCCAGCACCTCTGTGCTCCACCACACCAGCTTCTCACACTTCTGCTGAGTGCTGGCGAGGTGCAGAAGCGACAAACAGCTTAGGTTTTGACACCTCCAGCAACACCCCAAGCAACACGTGCGTGGGCAGGTCTTCCCAGGCTAAAAAAAAACCCACCCAAGCAGATGAGTTAGAGGAGGGAAGGAGCAGAAAGCCACCTCCCTAGCAGGGACACAGGTTAGTTGTGGGTGCAGGCAAGCAGCCAAGCCTACATTCAGAGAAGCAGAGATGCTACCGGCGCAGAAAGAGGATGGAAAAGAATATCACAGCATCCCAACAGGGTGTTCAAACAGTTCCAGTGGTGTCTATGGATGGGGAGATAGGTAAAACCAGAGTAAAGGATGACACTGATGCAGCACCACGGGCTGGAGCCTGCAGGTTGGACAGGGGTGTCACAGCTTCTACTCCTTCTGGACTACCAGTGCTGTTTCGAAAGCTTAGAAGTGACAACTCACATTAAGCCTGTCAAAGAGGTCATCTCCTGGGTCCTTGTTCTTCATGAACAGCTGCAGGTTCTTGAACACCTAAAGAGAAGGAAAGGATGGCCCCAGTCAGGGACAATGAGCAAATTCCTTCCAGACATCTCCCTCATCTCCATCTGCCTCCTCATCCAGACAGACCCTGATTCAGACTCATGTATTACACATCCTACCACACCACCAACCTTCTCAACTTCAAGGGCTGCCACTGGGACCTCAAAGCCACTGGTGCTACAGGCTGTTTTCCCCCCCATCTCTGCTATCCCTGGCACTCCAGTTTCTCCACAAACACAATTAAAATCATCTCTTTCATGAGCAAAGTGGTTTCTCCACAAACAATTAAAATCATCTCTTTCATGAGCAAAGTGAAAAAGAAAACATTAATGAGGACAGTTCAAGCCCTAATGCCCTCCAGTCAACTGAGGATGCTTCAGCAGGAGGCAGGATTTCTCTCTCATGGTTCATCAGCTAGAACAACCTTGAAGTCGCTACCCCAAAGTTTCTCTCCCTTCTCCAGGGCAGGGTCAGCATCTGTGTGTCCCCATCACCCAGCATTATTGTATCCCACGTGCACACTGCCATCGTGGTGTTAAAGCACAGGAGGCATCTTTGCAACAGGTTTCAGATGCAGATTTGGGACTGATGACCACCGAGTGGACTGAGACACCCAACTAACCCTGCACCAACTTGCCATGCTGGCCACTGCCTCCGTTTCTGCCCCACTTACCAGCTTCTCCACTGACACTTTGTTGTAGTAACGGATGGAGTCTTTCCCCAGGAAGTCAAACTCCACCACGTGCTCCTGCCCATCCAGCTTGGGGTGCAGTTTGATGTGCTCCACGCGCAGGGAGCAGCAGCCAACTGTGTCAGCAGTCTCCCCTTCCTCCTTCTCATTGCCAGCTCGCAGGGCCAGCTGGAAGGAGACAATGAGTCATCCATCCCACCCCACCTCAATCCCCCTTTCCAAGGTTATTAGAGTGGATGTAGACACCAGGAAGGGGGGGGAAAGAAAGCTTCCTCAGAACAGTGCCTCACTGATTGGCTGCTGGGACCCTGGTGGAAACCAGTGACCACCTCCAGCAGGAGATCATTTCATTGGTCAAAAAAAAAACAACCCTAAAATATCCCCCCAGAATAAACCTATCCAATGCCCAAGGTGGGGTGTGTTTGCCATCATGCAGAGACAAATGCAGGTGAAGTCCAGGAAGGACAGTACAGCTCCTGCACTGCCATGAATCCCATCCTCAACACAAGCATCACTAGATAGTAGGAGTCACCATCCTCCATGATCATTGCCATCACACAGAGACAAGGTGAAGTCCAGGAAGGACAGTGCAGCTCCTGCACTGCCATGAATCGCATCCTCAACACAAGCATCACCAGATAGTAGGAGTCACCATCCTCCATGATCATGGCCTGATGCCCCATGTGGAACATCCCTGGTTAGTACAATCAGCAGACACCAAAAAAGCTGTGGTGAGGTTTGGGCTTGGTCCAATCTACCCAGGGATGGGGGACCAGGGGGTCAGGGTGAGGCTAACAGATACCTTATCAATGAAGTAGAGAGCCACTGCTCTTTGCCGCTTCTTCATCTCCTTGGACTTCCAGTCGGCTCGATACTGAGCACGGATTTTGTGAACGACACCCTTTAAGCGCCGGGCTACCTCATACTTCTGCCAGTCTTTCTCCCCCTGGAAAAAAAGAGGCTAAAACTCAGTGCCTCATCTTCCTTCTGCCTCTACCGGTCTGACCCTGTTCTGGGAACACCTCCAGCATCTAAACACTGCTCAAAACCCATTGTTTCCTTGAGGAAAAAAATCCATGAAGTGGAAAAATCAGAGCAGAAACAGCTCATCTAGTGTTTCTGTGCCCTCTGCTGGTTGTGCTGGACTTGGCCAGGATCCCAGGTCTGAGCTGCTCATAGTCTGGAGGTGTCCTCCACCACCCAGCACACAGCAAGTGAGGAGCCAAGTGGTCAAGCTCTGCATGGCCATGGCCTCAGTTGCTTGGAAACCACTAACGTGGATTGACACAATGCACTTGCTCAGTTGCATCCAGTGTCCTTATTTGCCTTGAAGACTGGAAAGAGGTTTAAATCATCTTTCCCTCCCCACAGCATTCACTCTCTCCCTCCCATGGCACTACAGATGGTGATCACATCTCCTCCTACCCTAGGTTTACCAGTATAAATTAATTCAGCCCCATAGATTCTGGTCCTTGTGGACCCTCTCAGCCCCTGCCTGGCTTTCAACAGCCTTTCCATGACACCACAAGTGCCAGGATGACTCTGCCAGTAGTAATCCATTCCCTGGAAAAGGCTTCATGCTTCACATTCATCTCCATCCTTTTTCCCCTCACCAACTTTTTCCCTCACCAATTGGTGTGCCAATTAATTTAGTTTACTCCCTTTTTGGGGGGGAAAAAGTATTATGTTTTTGTTAATGTGCCACATCTCTGCTTTCCCTCGGCCCTTCCACCTGACAAAAAGCCTATAGTCCAACAGGCAACAGCTCTGCCTGGACAACAGCATCATTCCAACCTTCAGCTTGGAGCTGGGGTTCAGCATGATGTACTTCAAACAGTTCTGGATGTTTTCTGTCCACGAGGCCAGCCAGGTAACTGTGTTGTCGAAGCGCACCTCCTTCCACTTGTGCCCTTCTGGAGGCTCTGGGATTTTGGAGTCCCTGTGGGCAGAAGCAGGGTTACAGCCCTCAGGTCATGATGAAGCAAGAGGTCATCAGCTCAACTGCTTCTTCAGAGTGAGCCAAAGATGGTCACCCCATCATAGCATTACTTACAGAAAACATATAGCCCACCCAAAATTGCTCCACAACATGATTATGTCTTTGGGTGCTGGGCACAACAGGAGAACTTGTTGGGCTGGTGAGGAGTGCTTTGAATAAAGGCTACAAGGTCTTCATGTGGGTGCTTTAAGACCAACCCAACTCATGTAACTTAGAGGGCAAACACTCTTAACCCAATCACTGCTTTTTCCTCCCTCCAGTGAGTATCCTGATGTTTCCAGCCAGCACGAGGGAGCCATAAAATGAGAAGGAATGGCTCGTTTAGAAGAGGAGCACAGAGGGAGGAGTACAGAGTTGTCCCTTCTTCAGAGAGGCCATAGGAACACTGTGGTGTTTGCAGTTGACGTCAGGTGAACAGCGTGGGCACCAGTGAGAGATGGGAGCTCCTGACCAGCTTCCCAGCCACTGTACATCCACAGAGAAACTAAAAAAAGTCAGATCTAACTGCAAAGCAGAAGGTGACCAGGAGGCAACAGAAGAGGGTGTGCAAACACAGTGATTGTAGGAGACAGTAAAACCCCATGGCAATTCCAGGTAGAGATGTCCTGTTCACCCTACTCCCAAAAGCAGCCCCACAAACTCAGCTCTTCCCATGGCAACTCACTTGCTGCAGTTGATGATAACATCTTCTGGCATGACCCTCTTCTTCAGCATGCCCATTTTGGGGTGGTCACCACGGCCACGGAAAAGCCCCGGTGGTTCTGTTTTGAAGTTGCCTATCTTCTCCCGGTGCCCATCAAGGATGCAGTACCCATACTCCTCCTGGATCTTATCTGCCTCCTCCTTCAGTTTCTGAAACGAGCACCACGCCACCATCATCCCACAGGACAAAACCAAACCCCCTTGACTCGTGCCTGCCCATCACTACCCTCCCTTCTCTAGAGAAGGCAAGGCTAGAAAGGGTTGGAGGAAGACATGAGCATGGGTCCAAGCCCACTCCCAACAAAAGGCTCATCTCCACCCACTTTGCAGACCCTCACAGTGATGCTGTCCCAGCATGATACACTGATGGAACAAGTCTGTGTGCCAGCAGCCCCTTAGCAAGGTCCACCATCCTCTGGACATGGCCTGAGGATGACTGGTACCCTGCAAAGCCATGAAACATGCAGCATCTGCAGATAAACGTAACAAATGGGGGCGTGTGATGATAATGGAGACAGAGCAGGCCAAAGAGGTACCAGGTCAGAGCATAACACCACATAAGGAGAGAAGCAGGAGTCAAAATACCCCAGGCTGGTCCCAAAACACATCAGCCAGTCCCAGATGTCATGGGAAACAGTCCTCACCTGCTTCTCCTCTTTGGGGAGTGCTTTCCGTGCCTCGCTTTTATCCACAAAGTACTTGTGGATCTCCCTGAAGTCACACTTGTCCAGGTCCTTGATTATCTCCTGCTCCTCCGAGGTCATCTCCTGAGCAAGAGATGAGAGGGGTTGGGTGAAACCAGGAGGCAAGACTAATTCCATACAAAGCTGCTGCCTACGCCTCTCCTTCACAGAAAAGGAAATAGAGACACACATGCCAGTTCTTCAGAAAAATCAGAAGGAAACAGCCACCCCCAGCCATCCTAACCACATCAACCAAGGGTAGACAAAGCTCCCACGGCGCCCACAGGGACTGCAGAAGCAGCCCCAAAGGTATCTGAGGACACATCAGCTTGCCCTAGTAGAGGTCTTGCTGATATTTGGGGACTCAGCCAGGGTGCTGAGGGACCATGCGGTGAATCGTTCAGAGGGACACATCTCCCAAACTGTTTGTGAAGCTGTTTGCAAGCCCCAGCACCTACTTTTTAGGAGCATCACTAAAATTCAGAGGGAGCTTAAGTGCCAGTGTGAAGTCCTCGAGGAGGCCGCAGACAGCGAGCCCCAGCCCAAACCCACAAGAAGCAAGGAAATAAATCATATCATTTATAATCATATGATTGTGAGATTCTAACTAAAGAACTAAGCCACAAAGAAACCTCATCCCTTCCATCCCACACCACAGCAGAGGGTCTGTCTGGAGATGACAGGTTTAATACTGAGGATGGACCAGCAAGGAAGCCCTCGCAGGGAAGGTACCTTCCTCCAGTCATTGAAGAAGTTGTTCTGGAAGATCTCCTTGGTCGTGTATTCATGATCGAGCATTTTGGCATAGAAGGTGGCAATTTCCTCCGTGGCCAGGCTCAGCTTCAGGGGTTTGCCTAGGAAGAGAGAGGACCTTTAGCATCAGTTACGGGGATAGCCCAACCCTGCAGCCCCAGACAGTTGGTCAGTGAGTCCTCGTGCTCACCACAGCGCCAAAACAGGGACAAGGGGTGAGAAGAGACATTGGCAAGGCTTCAGCACCCCCCTGCACCACATCTGCAGATCAACACCCAAAGTTCTTGGCAGATCAGGATGCTGCTGCAGCCCATCTGCAAATCACACACTTCATTTTCTTTGCCAGAAGAGTGAAAAATCCTGATTTATGTTAAGGTCACTGAGCCAACGTGGCTTTCAGCAGCCACCATGCCATGATGTGCCCCAAATTAATGACTCCACAGGACATCACCGAAAGGTTTGCTTTCTCACCATGATCCCACTTGGAAAGGTTTCATCTCAAATCCTTTCCTGGAGCAATCATGGGAAGCTCAAAGCTGAGATTCGTGCAACAGATAGAGATCCAAGAGCCTCTCATGGCTGTCCAGTGGGTCTTGCATCACTTCTTGGAGATGGCAAAGCCAAAGTTCTCTCCTGAGCTCTTTGCCTAGAGCAATGAGGTTCAGTGAAGCCAAGGAACACCCTCCACTCCTCCAAAGAAACCAAGACTTTGCAAAAGCTTTTCTAGGTACGCTGCAGGAAAAGCACCCTGAAGAGCTCCAGGGGATGGTTCAATCCTGTCTGCACCAGGCACTCTAGTTTTTGGGCTTCCTGACCTCCACCTGAACTGCAGGGCATGGTGGGTCACAACCTTACAGTGGTCCCATCACAACCTACATACATCAGCTCACCTGTGGGTCCTTTCCTACTCAGGCTTGTTGCCTGTCCACAACCACTTTTTCATCCAGGAACAAGCAAAGAAGCCAACATCACCCAAGATCCCACCATCCCAAATGCACACAACACACAGATGGGTCTCCAACAGCTCAGAGGTCCAAATCCTATGCAGGACTACATAGAGCAGCCAGGGCTGCTCCTCCTCATAGATGGAAAAGAAAAAAAAAAAGTCTGACAGCCCCATCGATGTCCCAGCAGTGCCACCTGGTGACAGCGTTGCCAGACACCAAATTCCTCCAAATTGGCCATTTTTTTCCTCCTGTAAAAACCCCACAAGGAACAACAAGTCCTAGTGAGAGGGCTGAGGAGGTCCAAGACCCCAGGTGACTGCGGTCCCCTCTAATCTGCAGCATCCTTTGGCCAAGCCCCAAGGTCCTTCTTGTCTCCTCCCCTCGATCCATCAAGAAAACAGCTCAGAGAGCAGGGAGAAAACAGCTCAGAAGACACGGTGGGAAACCAAGGAGGACAGCAGAGACCTGGATCTGTCCTGCCAATCTCTCAACCCCTTCACTGATGCACTGAGTTACTGTAAGGCAACATGTGGCACCCCTGGGGACAGCATGGGGAGCAGTGACCAAGAGCTTGGAGAAATCCAGCCAAACCCTGCAATGTCTTAGAGGACAATTGATGCACTTCTTCCCCTCAAGAAACTCAGGGTCCAGCCCCACCACCGCATGTCCTGCAGCCAAAAGAGGCTGTGAGAAGAGGTGCAAGTCCCAGAGCCACACATGGCTGTGTTATGGCACCCTAAAACCAGCTGCAGGAACCCTCACCTTGTCCCACGATGCTCTGCTTGGAGAGGACACATAAAGCACCCTGCAACTGTCAGGGGCTCGTTAGCTCCAATAACCCCACAACTCCTACCAGGTGCAAAAACCTCCAGATTTAACCCACAGTTCAGGCTTTATCCAATGGGATATTTAGGTCCTTTAATAATTTGTGGTCTGCAGAACTTCCACCCCCACCACCCATACAAGAAAAGATCTCTTTGGCCAGGCAGAAGACAAGTCCACATACCCCAGGTCCCATCACAAGGTGGACCTACCATCGTAGTAGAACTGTACATCATCAGGCAGCGGTTCGTAGAGGGGGGCAAAGTAGGGTCCTCGGTGCTCCAGCTGCGTCCACTTCACCCCATCTTCTTTCTTCTCCTCTTCCCACCTGAGACAGATGCAGAGAGACTCATGAGACCATCCCCACCCTGGAGGTCTGGGACCTTCTCCCGAGGTCACATCAGGAAGACGCCCTGCGAGCAGCAAGGTTGCCCCAAAACCCGGGTGAAACCTTGTCATCTCTGCTTCTGCCTCAGTTTCCCCATGCTTTCAAACAAGGCAGGCTGGGACATAACTCTGAGCGTGTCCCCTTGAGACACCTTTCCCTGTGCGGTGACATGGGGAGAACAAAAGGATGGATGGGTCAGTCAAATCTACAGGGACAAGCACTGAGAACCCACTGCTGAGCCACAAAGGTTGCTCAGTTGGCACCAAAGAGGCTGCAGGGGCTGGAACACTCATCCCTTTCCTCCCCAGACATCACTGCATTTTATTTTTTAAAGAGCACACCAAAAAAAAAAAAAAAAAAGCTCCAGAGGAGGAGCTCACACCACATCACGTTCCTAGCTAGGAGAACATCACTCCAGACTACTTACACCTAGGATCTTAAGGCAAATAAAATCTGAGAGCACCTCTCCTCACTGTAATTAGGATTTTCAGGTCACCACAAGGCTTAGCTGAGAAATAATTAAAAAAAAAAAATTAAAAGGGGGGAAAAAAAATGAAAAAACCCACCCTTAGGTGGGTTAGGAGCAGAGGAGCATTCCTTAGGAGCAGAGGAATGACATTTAAAAGAGAGAATCCAGATCAGGGGCTGGAGAAGCCTGTGCTGACAGAAGAGGGATCTGCACCCTGCGGCTCAGCCAGGCAGAAACTCGCCCTTTAACCCCAGCATCACCGGGAAAAGAAGGATTGCTGGGAAAACACAGCAGGATTTCACCCCGGGGAACGAAAAAAAACCAACAAACCACCCTGTGTTTCTTGTTGAGAGGTGCCCCGGAAGTATTTCTGACCTTTCTCCCGCCGCACAGGAAGGGAGGGGGGGTGGAATAAATCAAAATCTCATCCAAAGGTGCATTGTGCCAAGAAAACACAGGAAGGAAATAAAAAAAAAAGATAGATAAAGAAAAAAAAATATCAAAAATCTATAGAAAACCTGGGTGAAAGCGTCCCAGAGCTTCAGGGGTGTTTTGTGGGATGTTGGAATGGCTGTGATTCTCCTCCCGGACCTATAAAATCCCCCCATCCCGGCAGAGCATCACCCACACTCACCTGCTGCAGCCCCCCGACCGTGACCGGAGGCAAAGGGGGGTGAGCTGGGGGTGAGGGACCCCACGGCTGAGAAACGAGGAGGCAAGACGCCGGTACATGCCACCGGCCACCCGGAGGGACAGAGAAGCTGGTGGAGGATGTCCAAGTCACCCCAAGCATCCTGGCCCTGGCACCTCGCTACCCACCGGGGCATGGCGGTGGTAGCCAAAGCATGGCCATGACAAGCCACCACTGGGTCCAAGAAGTCCAGGTTGTGGCACTTCCCCAAGCCCCACGGCAGCACAGACTTATGGGAAATGTAGTCCTGCACGTGTTTTTCAGGGCAAAACTGCTGCAAACCGAGCTGATACTCCTACCTACCGGCCTCTCGCCTCCGTGCCGGGTTCCAGCCCCCCCAACAAGGCATTATTGAGCAAAAAAAGCCACAGAGTCCCACTTTTCATGCCACCCTGTGCCCCCACAAGAGCTGATCTGATGGTCCAGGCACCCACAGGCATCCCCATCTGAGATAATGACCTATCAGCTCCCCATAACCCAGGTTTGCAACAGGCTCCAAAGCATCCTGTCCCCTAAATGCTCCTCCTCTGCCCCTGATATTGGGGTGTTCTGGAAGAAAGTGACACCAAGTGGCTAAAGCCACCACTCTCTTCCACCTCAAAAAAATACAGCCTCCATCAGCCTCGCTCATACACCCTTTCCCAACGTTCTCCTACCAAAAAGCTTGCCTGGATCACCCAAAAACTGCTACAAAGTGGAAAAGAAAAATAAATTGCAGCTCCTTTATATCCTCTACAACTCCCTGATATGGCTCCTGCTGTCCTGGAAGCTGTTTTATCACAGAGGGTTGTGGGGATCACCTCCTTCCACCAGGATCTCCCTTCCCCGGCTGGGCACCAGCAAAGCCACTTCAGGAGGAATATATTTTGATTAATCCATTATAAGAATTAAAAAAAAAACTATTATACAAATACTATTTGGTATTCAGGACCTCACATTATCTCCCACCCCAAACCTATCATACAAATACTATTTTGTATTCAGGACCTCACATTATCTCCCACCCCCTTCCTCCTGCTAAGAGGGCCAAGTTCAAGGCTTAAGAAAAATACAGCAGAGCAGCTAAAAATAATAGTAAAAAAGAATTTTCACGCTTTTACCTTAAGAAATAAAACTAAAACCCCAATTGCACCAGTGTTAGACCTGCCCACAGGCCAAAGGAACAAAGGACACTTACCATTTCCACTTGTTTCCTGCCTCTTCTTTCTTTTCTTCTTTCTCCTGTTTAACCTTTTTGTTGTTCTTTTCTTCTCCTTCTTCCTTAGATTTCCTTTTCCGGGTTTTTCCTGGGGTCTTCTCTTCTTCAGTCTTCTCTTCACTCTTCCTATGCTCCTCTTCGTTTTCCTCCTTTGGCTTTTTCTCCTTGATTTTTCGCTTTTTCACTTTCCCTGGCACATCTCCCTTCCCTGCCTCCATTAGACCTACCCACAGGCCAAAAGAACAAAGGACACTTACCATTTCCACTTGTTTCCTGCCTCTTCTTTCTTTTCTTCTTTCTCCTGTTTAACCTTTTTGTTGTTCTTTTCTTCTCCTTCTTCCTTAGATTTCCTTTTCCGGGTTTTTCCTGGGGTCTTCTCTTCTTCAGTCTTCTCTTCACTCTTCCTATGCTCCTCTTCGTTTTCCTCCTTTGGCTTTTTCTCCTTGATTTTTCGCTTTTTCACTTTCCCTGGCACATCTGCCTTCCCTGCCTCATCCTCCTCCACCTCCTGCCCAGCCTCTGCCCTCTGGGTCTCTCCCCATCCTTCATCCCCTCTCTCATCCATCTCCTCCTCCTTTACTCTTTTTCCATCCTCACTTCCCTTTCTCCCCCCATCTCCTTCCTCCAGGTCCTCTCCTATTCCTTTCTCTCTTTCCTCATCTGTCTTCTCCAGTGTTTGCTCCTCTTCAAGCATTTTTTCCTTCTTTGTTTTCTTCTTCCCCACCTTCTCTACCCCCTCTTTTTTCACCCTCTTTTGCTTCTCTGCTTTCCCCTTCTCCTCTTTTTGCCTCCCATCACCCTGTCCCTGGGTGCTGCTGCTCCCTCCCTTGGCTCTGCCCTGTCCCCTTGCCCGTTTCCTGCCCTCATCTGCAACCTCCTCCTCCTCCTCGATGTCCTCCATCACATCCCTGGGGCTTTCCTCAAATCCATCCCTCTTGCTCCCTCTTTTTCGCAGCGCTCCCTTTTCCTGCTGCTTCCTTTGCTTCTTCTCTCTTCCTTTTTTCCCTTTTGAGTCTTGGGTATCCCCTTCCTGCTGTGGAACTGGGGTGTCCAGCTCCTTTTCCTCACCCTCCCTCAAAGTGATGACCCCCACATCCATCTCCAAAGCCTCAGGTTCTCCAGAGAGGGATGCAGCCCCACCAGCAACACCATCGTTTGGCTTTGGGACCTGTGGGAAGAACCCAGAAGAGAAAATAGGTGGAATCTGGCAATTATCCCAAAGCCCAGATGCTCAAAAGGGGTGCTAAGGGATACACTCCATACAGAATTGAGTCTGGGGGGGTGACAGTCCCCCCTGACTTTCCTACCCCAACTCCAGCCTTGGTCGCTGAGAGCTGCCATCCGGCCGTGGGTCCTGCTCCCTGAGGTTTGAGCTGCGACCTACAACAAAAGCACAACCAACCACTTCTCACCACATGGGTGAGCAGCAGCCTGGACCTCTTACCTGCAAAATTTGGGGATTGCTCCCAAAGAAGCCCTCATTTCACGGAGGTATCCCAAAGCAGCAGTGACTGGACCCCATAGGAGGACGGCCCCAGGTTGCAGCTTAGGGGATGAGGAAGCTCAACTGAGCAGGACCACAAGGTCTTCCCAAGCAAGAGTCCCCAGAGACACCTCTGCCCAGAGAAGGGAACAGAATTTGCAGAGTTTCGAACCACCAACAGAAAGCAGGACAGAGATGGCATCAGGCTGAGCATTGTGGACACACTAGAGGAGAAGACCTTGTGATGGGACACATCAGGACAGGTTCCCCCACTCCCCTCCCAAGAAGGCAGCCTGAACATCGGTACAACAGGGATGGATGCAGCCTCATCAGTGCAATGAGCTGCAGGGCTGAGAACGTTCTCATCCATGACCTCCACCATCAACAACATGGGTGGGAATGCAGGAACGTTTCCCTGGTCAGCAAAGAGGTCAGGTGAATTTGGGGGATTTCTGTGGGACTTGCAAACATTATAAAGCACTGACCTGTCCCTATAAAATACTTTCTCCCAAGGCTTCTTCTCCAAACCAAGCAGGGAGATGGGAACCTCATCTTTAAGTTGCTCATGTTCCAGAAAAGTAAAGCAAGAGAAGAATAGCAAGCAGAGCCTAAACCAATCCAGATTGAGCCTAGATCTCCACAGGCTTGAGGTGAAACTTGGAACTGTCCCTGTTGGATCATGGCCACGTCCCAACCAAGTGAAATGCCCGCCAGGCTGCAGAGCATAACACCCCCAGCTTGTGATCAGCACCACCACAAAAAAACACCCCAATTTATCCAGGCCAGCAGGTCGGGGCAGAAGGTAAAAAGCAACCAGAGCCACATTCCTCCAGACCATGCCAGGTGAGCTTGGAGCTGAGCTCAGGCCCTTGCACCAAGCCCATGGGTCTGACCCCTTTCCCTGCTCCGTGCACCCCAAAGCATTTTGGAAACATGGCCAACTGTCCCAGTGTCACGCAGGAAGGAGCTGGGAAACCAGGTTTCTCCATCCAGGGAGGATGGTGGCAGCTCTCCTGAACATCCAGGTGAGCACAAAGAGCCACAATTCCTGCTTTTAGCCAAAAGATCCCACAGACATAGTTTCCGCAATGAAAAGGGAGATTTTTTTTTGGCCCTTTTCTAACAGATCATTTAGGGTGATGTTAAATTACCAGGCTGTGGGACAGAGTGACTCAAGGCTCAGGAAAGCCTTCAAGCCCACTTGGGATGGAGGCAACAAGTTCTCAGAAAAAGAAAAATAATAATAATAGGGGCGGATGCTTTTTCCACGGAGCCGGAACACACATTAGAAAAATAATAATAATAATAATAGGGGTGGCTGCTTTTTCCACGGAGCCGGAACACACATTACACAATCTCCACTAAACTCATTAGGGCAAACAGCCCGGCAAAACATTCTCAGCCCTTCCAATCTCATTAGCAGCCCAGCAGATCCATGACTCAGAAGGCAAAGTCCTGCCACCTCTTTGGGATCGGCTCCTTCCCCAAAAGGCCTTATTAGAGGCCTCTCGCTGGACATGAAAGCCCCTGCCTCTAAGAGGCAGAGAGGATTAGCCGGCTACGGGACAGCTTTATGAATTCAACTTCCTATCTCTGCCCAGATCTAGGATGGGACAAGAAAAAGAAACACCCTTTTCCCAGGCTTTGTGAGGCTGGTTGTCCCCACCAGCGCTTCCCCACCACCTAGCTCCGTATTTATGTAGGTATGTGCACCCGAGCGATCGCACCCTGCTGACTCAAGCATCCTTGGGGAGGTTGGATGGGGCCAGGAGCCTCCCTCTCCACCCTCAAATCCCAGGATGGGGCCTTAAATTCCATCCGTGATGTTTTTGGCAAGCTTTAAGGTCACTGAAGGCACCAGGACATGGCCAAGCCGCCCAGTGAAGGCATCAGCAGCAGGGTGGGCTCAGTGATACAGGAGGGAAAACCAAGCCTGTGCAACCTCACAGCAAGAGGAGAAAGGACTAATTTCCAGTTCTCTGGGCAAAAAGCATTGAGAAAGTAGCTCAACTTACCTTGAAGAGTCTTTCAGCCCCACTGATGGCCCTTGGTGGAGGGTTGATTCGGTCTGAAAGATATTAACAGCATTGATCTGGGAAATGTTAGCTGACATGGGTACTCCAACAGCAGTGTCACCCCCAAGCAGCCATCCAGCCCCTGAGATGGCAGCCAACCAGGCCACAGTACCCACGTCCCATTGACATTGTCTTGCCCTTCCTCAGCCACCTTAGCTAGAAACCAGGAGCACAAAGCAGCTGACTTTTCCCAAGCATGAGGAGAGCTTTGAGGTTTTATGGGGTTGGGAAATCCCTGTCTTAACTTCCAACAGCAGTGAAAAGGTATTTTTAGAGCAAATACATGACAACGTTCACCCTTCCTCAACCCCCTCCTCACTAGATGTGTTGCTGCTATCGGGAACACCAGTCCAGAAGAGCAGAAGGGACAGGAGGGCTCCAAAACAAAGATGCATCAAATGACAGCTTACATACATCCACACCAGATTGGTCCTTAGAAGATTAAA